CATTTATATTAAAACATCTCATTCTTGTTCAAGCTGCCAGTCAGTAGAGATTGAAAGGCAGCAAGCGACAAGTAACTGGAGAGAGGTTGTATTATCAGAATCTTGAATTGTCTCTTCAGCTTACTGAAGACATTGCTATTTATGAGATACTGAGGTGGCTAAAATGAAATGGGCACTCTTTCTAAAATGACATGGAAATATTTGAGCATCCCAATATCAGGAGCCATTTTAACATACCAAGATAGTCTGAACAGTTTGACTTCCAATTCCCTGTCATCGGTATCTATATGACTTTTGCTAATCTAATAACGACTTTCGAGCACTTAGCAAGCAAACTGTGGAAGCTTCACTTAGCTTGCTGCTGTACAAACTTGTTTTTAGTAGAATGGATTTGTTAGTGGGATTTTATTGTAGTGCTATTATTGGCTGCCCTTGTGGGGTGAAAAGGGGAATGCATGCAACAGAAGTGCAAGAGGCCCCAGTAATAGTGTTGTTATGAAATAGGCACAGGTTTCCTTTTTATATAACTTTAAAAAAAAACTGTCTTAAAACAGTTGTATTGGTACTTTTCCCCAAGTTTAGGTCAATGTTGTCTTCCAGAAGTTTAAAGCATCACATCTTTTGCATCAACACATAGGAGTGGCAATTCCATTCTGAGCCAATTGTATAAAATTCATTTTTATTATACAATCGAATGAGTAGATGAGCTCAGAGTTAAATTCTTAAAAGCACGTTTATGTAACAGGAATTGTTATGTATTAATACTTCAGTTTTCAATAAAGATTGACTGTGTTGCTTATTGTTGTTTCTTTTGCAACTACAATCCTCAAAAATATGCTAAATGACGTTTAGGCTTTTTAATATGCATTGTATTAGAAACTGTTCATCCCTGACAGATAGGCACATTCTACACGTTGTGGATTACAATTGCCATCAGTCTCAGCCAACAAAGCTATTAACAGTAGATTGTGGGAATTGTGATTTAAAATATCTGAAGGAATTCACATTACCTGCCTCTCATTTACTGAACAAGAGTTTGATTCACATGCCTCTTGCTGTCTTACACCATCCCATAAGTGTTTTTTAAAAATGCACATTTCATTGAAAGAAAAATGTTAAAGTGAAATTAGTAGGGTTTTTTTTTCTTGGCAATAAATTTTACATTTTAAATTTCACGTACTTTTAGAGAACTGTAATTTTGCCATGTTTAATGAAACTTGGGAGGAAGTGTTGGTAATAGAAGGAATCATTTAGGCCAGTTAGTTCAACTGCCTGTTCAGGATAGGGATTTAAATTAGGGCATTCCAGAAAGAGGCCTACCTAACCGATACTTAAGTGTGACATTTATCTAATTTATATAGCTGCTCATCTCACCAGGAAGTGACTCTGGGGCAAGGTACAATAGGTATTTGGAAAATGCCACTGTATCCCTCTCTTGTCAACTTCTCAAAGCTATACACACATAGCTCTTTCAGCCTCTTCATAGGGCTTAATTTCATCTTTCCCTGAACCTGTTCCGAGATCTCTGAATCCTTTAAAATGTGAAGCCTAGAATTCAAGGAAAAGTCTGCTCAAAGCCAAGTAAGAGTGGACCAATTATTTGCCATACTCCTTATTTGGTGCAAGTAATAATGCTAAATTCATCTATTTTAGATGAATGTGAGGTGACACTGATGTGGCAAAGCACTAAGATTGTCAGATCACTGGTCAGGACTTCGAAAGATAAGCAAGCAAAAAGAATTGGTCTATGTGTTAATGGTTTTATTTCACATTTCTTCACTTCTGATTACTGTTATATAGAGCAGTTTATAGCCTTGCCTGTGTTGCAGTACCACTGGATCCCAAATTTAGATTGGTTCCTTGCTCTGGTATAGGCTAAAATTAGTACTATATTTCACACAGTATTACATGATCTCATGAAATGCTTTCAAATATGACAAATGCTTCCAACTGAAACTAATTCCTAGATTGCAGCGTCTAAGTCATTCTAGAGGATTTTTTTCAGCTAGATCTTTTTTTCTGACAATATGGAGAATTTCTGATTTATACTTTATCCTATTTTTGTTAAAGAATTCTGAACGGTTTAATGTTCTTCCCTAATTAGAGAAGTATATATTTTCCCCTTTTTGTGCAAGAGATATTTTGCAAATTCATTTAATAGTCAAAACTATCCAAATAAAATACAATAAATTCTATTTAAATGAAAAGAACAACACTGTTCTGAAATCTGGCCTATTTCTAGATAATCTCAGAACAATGCTTATGGCTGTGTGTGTATGGTAGCTTTTTTTTAAAAAAAATGTCAAATTGTAACATTGTTAAAACATGCCATTCAATTTGTGGAAGTCTCACCTGATTCAGTAGACTTTCATTTGTTATTCCTTTCAATTGTAGAAGCAACTAATGACTTGAGGTTTTAAACATAACCATATAAATATAAAAATACCTTGGGACATGACACTAGTATCACTCGTTGCTTGCTTTGGGTACTAGCTGTATTCTTGAGTGATTAAACTGCAACCTTAGTGTATTAATCTTTATGGGCTGTGTTCATGCAACATATTACTAAACTAAAAAGCTCAGTTAAATGCATGGACGCTATCTCTGCCACATCACAATTTAATTAGCTTTATGCTTAGAATTAGAATGACCACTTTAGGTTTTGGAAAACTGGAATGTTTTGTTACAGACTACAGTTTCTAATTTCCAGATAGTAGTAGGTTCAGGCAACCTGGAAAGTTCCAAAGAATGGTTAAAACATCTGATGAGAAGTGTGTTTGTGGCATATGTGCCTACTGAACAAGCTTTCAAGCTAAGCATATTGTGTTAGCATTACAGCAGGACACAGCACCTGTCTGAAGGTAGCTAATGTTAAAAAAAAATATTGGTACATCTCAGACCCGATTATCATTTGAGTAAATGATGTAAGGAGTTCCAGGAGTAGATTGGATTGAAAAGATACCCTAGAAGACAGAGATGATCCACTTCTGCATTATGACCAAGAAAACAATATGATTATGTCCATGTGGTTATGACAGTTGAGTGTTGATTCAAAGACAAAATATCAGGTCATTATCTTTGCAACTTTCCCTGTTCATTGTGGATCTTTTGAAATTGTACTCTGATGTATGTATTCATATACTAACAAAAGGTTAGTATATGAATGAGTGACCTGCATCATTAACATTCATGGTCATGCTTGAGTCTCAAATAGCAATCAAGACTCAGGCATGACCAGATGTTAATTTATCCTTCTATTACTTTTTTTAAGGTAAAAGATGAACTTTGACTGCCTAGAAACTCTGGATATATGTGTCTGTTATTCTACCCTTTCCCATATTGTGTGGAATGAAACTGAATAGTCTACCATTTCAATATGTAGAACTAAAGATACATAATGATGCACACTAAACACAAGGATGCACCCCGTATGAAATAAAAAAATATCTGCTGATTGCTCCAAGGCAAACTACTAGTTGTTCATTTAAGGGTAATCAAATGCAAATGACATACTTATTGGGTTACAAGACATTTTCTGCATAAGAAAAAAAGACAGAATGAAAGTCGGTTTTACAATTTTCTTTATGAAATTAAATGTAATCCCCTCCAAAGAGGGAAAGAGAAAGTGCAAGAATGATTCTGTACATGCTTCTAGCTTTCTATAACTGAAGGCTGGTCAGCTACAATTGGACCCTGCAATTTTTGCATCCCACTGCTGAATGCTTGCTCCCCTGGAATAATGTCATGCCAGGGTAGGTTGGGTTCTTCACTTTTAATTTCACAGTACCAGGAAATCCCTAAACAATGGGATTCAGTCAGTTATGGCTTCTATCTATTTTACTATTGTAAGGCAAATCTTTTATCTAATCAAAAGATACAGAGAGAAAGAGTGCCATCAATTTTCAAGTGGTTAGTATCTGAATATACACTCTCCATAAAAATTGGCAAATCCGTGTCCCTGTCTTCTCTTAAGCACCTCACCTCCTCTGCAGAGTGTTGCATAGGTGACATACCATAGTTCCAAATAATACTGCTTAGTTTGTAAGTACCTGGCATGTCTTTAGATAAATCTACATATTGTATCTTTAGGAATATAGGTCAGCCTTTCTTCCATGTTGTGCCTCCTAGATATGCCTGGACTGTAGCTCCCAGAATCCACAAAACCTCACTACACCTATTTTGGAATTCTTGGAATGGAACTTCCACACAATTGGAGGACATCAAGTTGTGGAAGGTTGATACAGGCTTCCAAATGTTGGCTTTCTTCAATGGAAATGAAGAGGCAAAAGAGGCATCAAGTTAAAACCTGACAAGACAGATTACAAACTTACAAAATACAGTTATTTGCACTGTTACATAAATAAAAATTTTATAAACATTGAAAAAAAGTATTGTTGGCCAGGAGCTATGAGAAAGGAAAAGAAATTAAAAGGTAATTTAGGCTCATTTCCCCTCCCCTATATACATTAACTCAATTAGGCTACAAGTGTCCTGGCTCTTAGCCACACTTCAGGTAGGTTAATCAACTACTGGTTCCAGATCAGCTGTTTGGATAACGTGGTGGTGTTTGATCTCTGGGAATGCTCAGGCTGTTCTGGATTTCTGAAAATTTGGGTAGGAGGAAGGTAGAACCTCATCACCCCAGGAAAATGGGCACCAGTAAGCATGTCAAATAACTGCTCAGAGCAAATGGCCGAGAAGTGATGGCAGCTGCTCATCTCTGTTGTCTTTTTCCTGTCCAGTCTTTTTGAATCCCCAAATAAAGGTTCCCAGATGAAAGGGAGGTCCAGAATAAAAGGGACAAAAATAAGGAAGTTTTTAAAAAAATTCTGACATCCGTCTTCTCCTGGGTACTCATCCGTATGGGCAGTCTGGATTCATTTTCACTGACGTACACACATGCACACGTACACAACAAGATCATATAACACTTTGAAGCTCTTCCAGTTGATCCAAAGGGAAAGAGTCAGGAGGGAGAGGATGCTAAGCCAGAGGTGGAGGCAGTGCTTGGGCTTGCAGGACAGAAGCATAAAGTGCTGTCTCAAAAGGGATTCAGGCACAAGGTCAGGCTGCTTCCACTTATTTTCGAAACGGTGCCAGCCTGCTGATATTCTGCCAGAAGTTTGAAGGTTTGCGTTTGGGTTCTGCTAGCATGAAGACTTGCTGCTGGGGAAGGTTTGTAGGCAGAGTAGGGTGTTTCTGGCGCATCAAGAAATCATAATACGTCCTAGTGATCACTGCTGATGAAATGAGCAAAGAAAAAAAAATGTATTTTAAAGTTGCGTCTTCTGCTCTGCCTCCTCTGAGAACAAGAGTGTTTCATTCTCAATATGTCTGTTGTTGTTTTTTACCCAAATTGCAATCTGATGCTTTAAGCGCTGTTGTTAAGCAGCAAACCATTACTGTGAATACATGGGAAGAAAGGAGGAGGACTATATCCTCTGCAGCTTGTGTCTCAGTTATTTCTCTCAAAACTTTATTTACCAGACTTCTTCACTCTCACACCTCTAGATGTAGTGGGATTGCAACTCCCACTGAAGTTGCATTTGTCAAACATTTGGAGAATGCCAGAATAGTAATAGCTATTCTAGGATGTGGGCCTAATTATTAGGTTGTAAAACAATGCAAAACACATGAGGACAGGGATGTCAAACTCGATTTCATTGAGGGCGCATCAGGCTTGTATTTGACCTTGGGGCCGGGGTGGGTGTGGCCAGAGCAGGCATGGTCTGCTTGGTGTCACTCATGTCAGGGGCGCCTATGGCGGACCGAGTGCTCCGCTAGTGAAAGCGGGCTCCTGAGCTCCATTTCTGGCTGCGACAGCCTCCTGCAACTCTGCCAGTGAAAACAAAGCTCAGGAGGGCCACGTATGGCTCTCTTGAGCTCTGTTTTTGCTGGCAGAGGGTTGCAGGCTGTCACAGCAGGAAACAGAGCTTGGGAGCCCGTTTTTGCTGGCAGAGGCACTGCGGGCCAGTCCCTCACTGTTTGCAGAGTGGCCCCATGGGCCAGATCTAAGCACCCCGTGGGCCAGATCTGACCCGTGGGCCTTGAGTTTGACACCCCTGCATTAGGATGTCAGATTGAAAAATAGTGTTGTCTTAAGATGGGCAATTAAATATTTGTCATATCTGAGTTTGGGAAACTAACGTGCTCTTAATACAGACTCCAATTATTTCAGTTTGCAGTGTATCACTGCTACAATTCAAGGGGCTACTAATGGTCTCGTGCCTATCATGCAATTTAAGCAGCTTATCCTTGGCTCTGGAAAAGACATGTGAGAAACTTGCACGCCTCCTGTTTCTCCAGACAAAGTACCGTCTCCTCATTAAATTTAAAAACACTGCCATACTAGAAAGAAGTATGAACAACATGCTGGCGTTTACATGCAGTTCAGTCAAGGGTGGAGGGGCACCCCATTCCATCTCCACATTTTAAAATAGTTAGAAAGTCAATAAAATCAACATGATGTAAAACCTTTCATGCATTACTGTTTTCAATAAACCACTCAATGCTGTGACTTCCCTGTCCCAGCAGGGGACAGCATCTGAACAACCTTATCTAGGCTTAAAATTTAGGAAAAGTCAATTTAGTAGTTATTTGTCTGGGGAATGTCCAAGGAATACTAGAACTATAACCTAGTCATGGGGAATTCTGGAAGTTGATCCACAAGTTGATCTTAAAGTTGGTTAAGTCTGAGAAATACTTGTCTAGACTGACATGTTAAAAAGCACATTCTCCCAAGAAGGAAGTGGTAAAACCTTTCCTAATTACTCCACGAAAATTACATGGATGGTAATTACATGGTAACCTCATGCCCTGAGGTTACCTGGAATTAAGTTCAGTTTGACAAAGATTCCTGTACCACCAAATAAAGCCAAATTATTCTAAAGTAATTACTTGCATTTTGAATAGTTTTTTTTAACTGCAGCTTCTAAACATAACCAAGGATAATTGGATCATAGCCTATTAACTGTAATAATTTTGGGCCATTGAGCTGTGATGTTTATTTTAGGGGAGAGTTAACAAGGAGGGCAGACATCTCTCTTGACTTGCCTTTTGGCTTTCCACTCTGATTTTGTTTGCTGGCATTAAGCATAGCTTGTTTCTTCTGCATTTCAGTGATGGAGAAACCTTGAAGATGAAAGGGAAGCTGTTAATCCAACAAGGCTTTTCTAGCCATGTCATGCAAACATATGCATGGGAGGGGGGAAACAAGGGACGTATCAAGCAGAAAATCTCAATGCATGCAATAGAAACGATACCAAGCAGTATAACGAAGATAGATTAAGGTCTGAGGAGGAAAGCGATAGGAATGGAAACTATGAAAATATGAAATTAAAGTTGTTCAGAAAACAGTCTAGTTTTCAGGAAGGATTTTTTAAGAGGAAGAACTCGATTTGTAAGGCTAAAAGGTTGCTGCAGGCAATGGGTCTCCATGGGATATGCTACTGCAGTCTTCTTCAAACTTCTCCAGATACATTGAGCCTATAATCCCTATAATTCCCTGTCAGCCTAACAATTCACAGGGCTGGCTGGCAATTCTAGGAGTTAAGACCCAACAGACTGGAAATGCATTAATTTGGAAGATACTAATGTAGGGAATCCTATGGCTTTCCAGATTTTACTGAATTGTAAAACTCTCAGCATTCCTCATCATTGGCCATACAAGTAGCCCTCAATTTGTGATCATAACTGAGCCCAAAATTTTGGTTTTAAATTGTTGAGTCATTATGTGACTGGACTCAATTTTACAACCATTTTTATGATGGCCATTAAGTGAATCACCTTGGTTGTTAAGCAAACCATGTGACCATAAATCTGAATTCAATTTTTTTTGCCATAAAACAGCAAAAAACCTTTACATGACCCTATGATACTGCAGCCATCCATAAATGCCATAAGTTGCCAAGCACTCAAAATGCAATCACATGACCACTGAGGTGGTATGGCAACCATAACAAGGATAACAAGCATAATTAACTTTTTTTCCAGTTTGCCATAACTTTGAAACTTTGTTAAGCGACCAGTCATAAGTTGAGAACTGCCCTAGTCACTGGTTACTCATCAGCATATTAAGGGCCACTGTTCTCTATCTTGTACTTACGAATACTCTGCAAAGCTAGATTTCTAAGATAAGAACTTCAGTTCTTAGTTCAAATCAAGATTAGGAAAACTGCAAAAATTATATGTGATAGAAATTCTTGCAGTTATGTGACTCTTGAGAATATAGAGTCAATAACAAAGTGGGAACATTTTAAAAATTTAATACATAAGTGTAGGAAACCCAAAGGTGCTTTTTCAAGAGGCAACTGGACTTTCTGGTAATTGTGAAATTGATCTGTCTTATTCTTTCATTGAGAAGTTGGAGCTGAACCAGAAAGTCTAGTTGCCTCTTGAAAAAGCACCTTTGGGACAACCATGACCTCGATGACTAAGAATATCCATAGACAACGTGTAGGAAACTTCAATAAAAGTCATTCTCAGCATAATGGTTCCCACTGATAGTTCCTAGCAATTGCATACCTGTTTCCTGGTCAAGCTGAACCTGCTTCCTTTCATTCTCAAATGCCTTGAGCCAGCGTTGCTTCTGTTCTGGTTTCTTTGCACAGAATAAATGGACTTCTTCAGTGTCCTGGCAATGCAGTTTGAATGCATTTTTAATAGTAATATTGAAATCTTTATCCTTTCCATCTTCCACATCCAGAATCTCCATAAGATCCATGTTGATCCGACTCTTATAATAGAGGATGTCACGTCGTAGGAGATCCTGAGGGGGGAAAAGCAAGCATATTTCGGTGCTTCTCCGATGCAACAACAGTTAGCCAAAGAACAACAATTTCCCATGTACAGACTAATGGTATAGATTTTTAAAAAGTCCCTATCTGATTTGAAACAAAAATTACTTTCAGGATTGACATTAAATTCCTTTTTTATGCTTTACAGCACTCTCTGAGCGGTTTACAGCATGGGTGTCAAACACAAGGCCCATGGGTTGAATCCGGCCTGTGATCTGGTTGGATCTGGTCCATGGGGCCATCCTGGAAAATGTAAGGGGCCGGCCCATGTCACTTCAGCCCGGTCTACCCAATGCGAAGAGGAAACATGGGGCCAGCATGGTTTTGACCTGGTCTACCTAGTGCAAAGAGAAAACATGCCAGCAGTTTGGGGAATGGTGTCAAGCTGTCCATGCCCACCCAGTCAGCCATGCCCAGTGAGTGGCATCAAGCTGTCCACGCCCACCCAGTTGGCCACAGCCACCCAGTCAGCCATGCCCACACTGCCCCCAGAGGTCAATTATTGCTCTGTTGCACCTCTCATGAAATTGAGTTTGACATCCCTGGTTTACAAAGTAAGCATATTGCCCCCAACAATCTGGGTCCTCATTTTACCGACCTTGGATGAAAGGCTGAGTCAACCTTGAGCTGGTGAGCTCCTGCAGTGGGTACAATTAGCGTGCAATACTGCATCCTAACAACTGTGCCAACACAGCTCAGATCCTTTGAGGATTCTCACTTAGGCACGTATTTTAATGCCTAACTGGATGGATACATGTAATAGTTGGAAATATTTGTAGAATCCTTTGTCTTACCATACATCTGTAGAATTTAAATTCCAAGGAATTCTGGTAGATTTAATTTGATAGCATTTTCATCTGCATCTTTTCCCTAAATATGTAACTTTCCTGCAGCGTTGCGGAATAGTTCACAACAGGCTTTTTCCATTAATGACCTTAGCACAAAGGCACAGAAAGCCAGCCTGAAAGAAACTTCAGCCTTATAGGCATTTTGGTAAAGTTCTCTCCCTGCCCCTCTCCCGGAGTCTTTCCTTGATCTATTTAAACCAGGGGTGTCCAACCTTGGTAACGTTAAGCCTGGAGGACTTCAACTCCCAGAATTCCCCAGCCAGCAAAGCTGGCTGGGGAATTCTGGGAGTTGAAGTCCTCCAGGCTTAACGTTACCAAGGTTGGACACCCCTGATTTAAACGATGGTGCTTAGTGTAATAGATCACCCCGCTCCCAACACACTGTCATGTTCTTTGAGCAAACTGCTTGAATGCCAAGTGTTAAAATGCAACTGAGCAAAGATGTAATTTTGCTGCCACCAGGAGACAGTGCATGCGGGCAGAAGCAGCAGTAGCTCTTGGCTTACCTTCTTGCAGCATACAAGTTGGTGATCAAAGAGGAAGAACATTCTTTGATGGCTTTTTGCCTGAGGCTGGGAAATTTTGGTTAACTCCCCAGAGTAGATGAGTTCAGAACTCTTAACAAGGACATCTTCACCCTGTCAATCAAAACAGAAGGGCACATCACCTTCTTTCCAGAGAAGAGGATAAGCAACATACAGCAGCTTAGTACTGAAAGTCTCTAGGGTCACAAATGGCTTATTATTCATCTTCCAACTTTGCACCCTCTGGGTTAGTTTTATTAAGACTAAAACTCAGGGCATCCACATAAAAGTGTTTGCTACTATTCCAAGTCAATTTTTCTTCTTTTCTCCCTTGCCCTTTGGAAATAGGGAGAGTGTTTGAAACAATGTGTGATGATCTTAGTGTTTTTTTTTTAAGCTATTCTTATTTTTAAGAAGAATCAGACTCCACTTGGGAAGTGGCACAGTTAATTTTACATAAATCAGTCTATATCAAGTGACTTATCATTGCCAATCATTCTTAAACATTTTATTATGTACAAAACAAATGATCTTGCAAATAGAAAATTACTTGGAATAACTAAATATCTACAACTTTAAAAATAAGCCTAAGTCATACTTTCCTGAGGGTTCCCATGGGTTTTACACCATCTGGCTATGTAAGTCGTGTGTGTGTGTGTGTGTGTGTTTGTGTGTGTGTATGTATGGTATTCAGCTTTGTTTGGGTATTTTCCCACGTCATTATAGTTGTGCTTTTAAAGTTGTAGCAACGTTTCAGCAGAATCTGGCAAATGAGATTCTGCCGAAACGTTGCTACAACTTTAAAAGCACAACTATAATGACGTGGGAAAATACCCGAACAAAGCTGAATACCATACATATAAATACCCGTGAAAACTTAAGAAAACATATATATGTATGTATGTACATTTACTCAAAAACTTTAACAGCATTTGCTGTGGATAACTTCAGTGTATTTGGCTTTGTGTTAGACTGTGCCCAATATATGATTAGCTCAAAAGAAGGTCTTCCCTTTATCAACCCGTTTTGTTTTCTCAGAAAGACAGATAGAGGAAAATGCTTCTCTACTTTTTTAGCTTTTGACAGATGACCATATGATGTGCTTGTGTTGATAACCATTAAGGAAAAGGTGACAATTCATATCACTTAAGGCTCTGAAGTACAGAACGTTATAAACAGAAGCAGAGTCTATTTTCAACAAATGCTATCCATTTGAAAACAAAGTGGAAGACATTAATTACAGTCAAAACATTCCTGGGTAACTGTAATTCAGACTAAGAATTCATTTAGCTTAATTGTGGTTTTTATTCTAAGCATCTGGCCCCAACATATAGGAATATTTGCAAATTTATAAATAGGATTATTTAATAAGAAGCAGATGGAAATAGTAGATTAATTTATCAATTAAAATATGTAAAAATTTATTAATTTGGGTGAGATGGTATATGGTATTTCCTTGCCCAGTAGAAGAGTTGTGAGTTTGTGCACATCAGCAAAGATAATGCTCATGTGACTCCTTATTTTGAAGATGTTTGCATTTTACCTCCCAATCTTCTATTGAGCTCTGCCACTGAGCAATTTTGTCTATATTTTCCAAACGCCTCTTCCTTTCATTGATGAGCCGTGCTACATTTTTCATGGCATTCAAAGCAGCTTCAACATCTTTAAAATCCCTACAAATGAAATAGATTCCTTTAGAGATATGAGCATAAATTGAACAAAAATGTAAAGAACTAGACTTCTACTCCTATGTACCAGAAATTGGCAAGGAAATTATGGGTCAAAATAAAATATATCTACCTCTATCTCATTTGAGAAAGAGAGAGAAAGAGAGAGAGAGAAACAGAGACAGAGAGACTGCAATGAATGTCATCACCCCAATATTAATTTTCTCTCTACTTATTTGGAGAACTTACAATCACTGTACTTAACATTTTGATACTGGATTATTATTTTTCTAAAGTACAAACCTTTGCAATCACTATCAGTTATGCTGATTGTTCTTAAATATTTGTTTTTCCAAGTGTTGAAGTAGTATTAACCCCCACCCCCACCCTGTTGATTCTGCAGGGAAATGGATTATTATTTTCCTATCTCTGTTGCAATTTATGCCGCTGCATTTAAAAAAAAACCTACACTAATCATTTGCAATCATTCTGTTACAAGGAAACTAGTTTTTAAATGTGATCGGGGGGAGGGCGGGGATGTAATTTGCCCATCAAGGTGAATAACCTGTTAGATCCCTAAGACTGTTTAAATTTAATTACAAGGAATGTTACCAAACAAAAGGTGTTAGGATAACTAAAAAAATAACATTTTTCTTTTCATCTAATTTTTATTCCTCACTTCTCCTTACCTATGCTGTGGATTGGTATATTTCAGCAATTCTGCAAGCTGTAGGGGATACTTGCAAATTTTCTGCACTGGCGTTAGGAGAAAACCATCCAGAGAGATATCAATCATCTTCTGAAGGAGACGGCATGCTTCGAAGAAATAGACATATTTGTTCACTTTGGTAAGCCGGGAAAGCTCCATACAAGCATTTGGGTGATTGTTGCAGTATTCTGAATAGATCTGGAATTCATTTTGCTGAATTGGAAGGCAAAAGATTATATTATGGAGAACAAGATCAATTTTATTTTTGAAACCAAAATAATCCAGTCTAACACAAAACACAAATGAAAGTAGTTTAAAATACTATACATGAGTGCAACATCACGTGAAATCTTGAACAATAAGATTAATCCAATGGGAAAACAGAAGAATACCTTAGGCCAGCCTTTCTCAATTGGAGTTCCACTAGAGGTTGTGATTTTAAAAAAAATCATTGTTTTTTAATTTCACGTCACACAATACAAGCACTCACAGTAATAGAATTTTTTACACACCACAACTCAGATTGCAGTTTATACTAATATTCCTGAACTGTCAATATAATAATTTTTAAGCAGGGGTTCCCTGGAAATTATGTCAGGGATTTTCTCCAGGTAGGAAAGTGTAAAATTATATTGACAGACTAAATTTGAAAATGAAACTGCTAGCACACCTTAAGAGGGAGTTTTTTAAAAAGATAAATGTATCCCTTTGGTTTTTACCCTGCTAGTCATGACTGACTTTAAAGGGCAGTGTTCATCTCTGTTTCCTAAGCCAAAGAGCCAGAGTTGTCTGGAGATTTTTTCCATGGTCATGTGGCCAGCATGACAACCCACCTCAGCAAAGAGAGTATGGTGAAATATGTAATGCTATTATGTTCCTGCATGCCTATATGTGGTACCTATTCATCTATTTGCATTTGCATGCTTTGAATTTCTAGGTTGACAGGAGTTCACTCCATCTCCTGGCATTCGGGTCTTGAACTGCTAAGCTGCAGACCTTTAATGGTCTAAAATTCAGTGTCTTAACCACTGAGTCATTGTGTCCCATTTGAGAGAAAGAGGCAAAAATGGGGTATCTTGTAGGTATAACTAGCTCTATAACCTTGCATAGAGAAGCCACTCAAACATTTTAGTCTACTGCTTAAGACTGAGGCAGACATTTTGTAAATGTACTGCAATTCCTAATAATTCCCCTTGAGTTTGAAGCAGTTTTTTTTTTTCAAACTTGGAAACTTAAAGATGTATGGACTGCAACACTAGTATTCACAGCTAGGTATAAATAAGGGAAATTAGTGAATACTCTTTCTATAGTTAGTCCTCCTTTTTGTGTGTTATCAGATTTTAAGCTTTAACGTTGCATTGTTTGTTTGTTTGCCAGTCATCTTATCTCAGGGTATCTCAGCTTACAATCATAAAAGATAAAAATTGTATAAACTAAAAACATAAAATTAATAAACTACAATTAACTGAATGTCCTTGTCAATGTTTTCTTCTTTCAGGCTACAGTTGTAAGTATAATTTCCAGAAATAGGGTTCACTGAGTTCAATGAAACTTTGGAGAGAGCATTCTTAATACATCAGCCATTCCATCACAGGTAGGGGGGGGGGCATTTCTTAGAATTTCCTGTTCAGAAGAGACATTGCTCAGAATTCTTGGAGGCACCTGAAGGGTATGGATGTTTTTCACTTTGGGATAGTGTCACCTAACTGCAATTTCCAGAATGTCTTATAAACCTGGCCTTTAGCTAGCTTATTTGCACAAATGTCAACTTACATATTCCAAGAAGCAAGAGCCAACTTCACTTAGGTGTGGGCAATCTTTGTTGAATTTCTTCTCCAAGGCTTTAACAAATTTTTTCTGGCATTTGTAGATATCCTCAATATTCCCAAATATAGTCTTCAATTGCTCTTCTGTGAACATGTCTGCTCGTTTACGGCACTGTTTTATATAGCCCTAGAAAGGATCAAGATTTGTAAGGCAGAATCAAAATAATCTGCAGTTCCACTCTGTCTTGATCAGAACGGTAGATAGAAGAATATAATGATGCCATAGCAACTTAGCTCTTATTAACATGCAATGAAAAGACTAATTGTTATACAAACAAATCTGGAATTTCTGCATTCAAAACTCAAAAGACTGATACCTAAGACGCTTTTAAGATGTCCATAATTACAGACAGACATAACACAAGCCTTACATTAAATGAAACTAAATTGCATCTACATGTCATACTAAAAAAAAAACACCATACTCTACAATTGTAAGAAATGATTCACTGGCATTTTATTCAGTTTGGTTTTCTCAGATTCCTGATAAAATTTTATATAGGATGATGATGAGTCACAAAGAGAATATGCATATTTCAGCAAAACATTGAACTTATTTTTTCTTCTGTTATGGACACTTAACATTAGAACCAACATTTAAAAAGCACAACAAAGAAAGTTCTTCCTGCATCAACTCAGGAAGTTCAGACTGCCCCAGGAGCTATTGATGCAGTTTTGCAGAGGAATTATTGAGTCTGTCATCTGTACTTCTATAACTGCCTGATTTGGTACGGCAACCAAATAGCACAGATACAGACTCCAACAGATAGTTAAGACTGCAGAAAGAACAATTGTAACCAGCCTGCCTTCCATAGAAAGCCTATATATTGCATGGGTCAGAAGGAGTGCTAAGAAGATATTTGCAGACCCCTCACATCCTGGACATAAACTGTTTAAATTCCTCCCTTTGGGATGGCACTATCAGAGATTAGACAAAGGGACAGTTTTTTCCTTTGTTCTATCACTCTGCTGCACACTTAATTCTCATAGTGCTGTCTAATGTCTATGTGTATTTACCCATGTAGCAAGGCTGTAGTATTATTCTTTATCCTTCTTTTATTAATAGTATTTTGTAAGTATCATTTTGTAATTATTTTTATTGATATTATTATGATTATTCTTATTATTATTATCCTGTTGCTTTGCATGTATACTGAGTGCTTCTGTACCACAAGCTTCCTTGTCTGTCTAATCACACTTGGCCAAATAAAGCATTCAATTCAATTCAAAATAGGTCGAATTGGTAGAAATTGTCATATTCTTGTGGTCTCTCAAATAAAGATTCCCTAAGGGATACAATGCTTAAGACCTATATAGAAGAAAGAGATTAATAGAGGATAAGAACAGATTTAAACTGAGTTCTGGGGAACAGCTAATATTGTACTCATCCACAAGAAAGGGTCTAGGGAAAAAGCTAGAAACTGTAGGTCAGTAAACTTAACATCTGTCCTAGGTCCTGTTCTGTTCAATGTATTTGTAAGTGATATAACAAAAGGATTGCTAGGTAAAGTTTGTCTTTTTGCTGATGACACAAAGGTGTATAATAGAGTTGACATTCCTGGAGGTAATCCTAACATGGAAAACAATTTTGCATTGCTTGAAAATTGCTCAGAAAATGTGGAGACTGCAGCTCATTGTTTCTAAATGTAAGATCATGCTCTTGGTGAAAAAGATACTGGCAGGGTACAGTAGTGGGAGTAGTGTTAGGCAGAACAACATAAGAAAATGATTTAGATATACTGATAGAGATGACATTATGGCCAGGCAGCTGTGAATGTAAGCAAAATGCTCAGATGCATCACTAGAGGAAACACCAACAAGAAAAATGAGGTCTTAATCTTGCTATATAGGGCTTTAGTTAGACCCCATTTGGAATACTATGTCCAGTTCTGGAGACCTCACTTAAAAAAAGATATTGATAAGATTGAGTGATTCCAGAGATGGGCAACCAAATGGTACAAGGTCTAAGGGACAAGAAATATCAGGAAAGATGGAGGAACTGAGCATGGTGGATAGAAGGGAAAAGGGGGACATGATTAAAATCTTCAAATATATTAAGGGTGTGAATAAGATTCTAGAAGGCAGTTTTTTCAACATTAAGCAAAAATTAAGAACACAAGGGCATAACCTCAAACTGTCAGTAGAGAAGTTCAAAAGTAATGTTAGAAAGAATAGTGGAATAGTGGAAACTTGGAATCTAGTTCTAGCGAAGGTAGTGAGTTAATCATCAGTAACTTAACTTAATGCTTGGGATAAACATATGTCCATCATCTGACAATAATTTAAAAAATAAATTAAAAAGTTAAAATTAAAAATAAATACTTTAAAAAGAAAAGAAAAACAAAGGGCAGAGTTAACAAATCACAAGGTCTTTTCTGCTGTCAGTTTTCTATGTTTCTAGAGTTTTTAAGAATTCTTTTTTTTTTCTTAAACATGAGCCAATCAATATCTTTGACCAAAGTACATTAGCAAACAACACATATTATCTATATGCTTCATTACCTCACAGATGTCTTTTAGGTGTTTGATGTAATCTCTTTCTGTGCTTAGAATTTCATTAATAACATTGGTTCTCATTTGATCCTTTGTTGTATGCCCCATTCCATAGCGATAAGCAGCATTTCTTCCATCTTCTTCCCGACCGTCTTCTAACTTCAGAGGATAGTCTTCAATTGGTTCATCCTGGTTTACTCGGAGCTGTATCACACATGCATTATTATCTTAACATTATTCAACTACTGAGAGGGAGGCGGAATTTGGGCATCCATGAGAAAATGTCAAATCTGTGAGATGTATTGTCTAGTGAGAATTTGAAAAGCCTTGGCTCAAGGTATGGATCTAAAAACCCCTAATTAATCTCTGTTCCATCTAATAATCCATTCATCTGTTTTGCTATTATTACATCTATTTCAATAGTAATATCTTTGCTTCCTTTCTAGAACGAAGAAAGTACTCTGAATATCCTTTCTCCAATATTTCTAGTACTGCTGCATTCTATTACTTTTTCAAGGACAACAAACTCTTTTAAGCATTTTAGAAGGAACAGAGTTAGAGGTAACTGTAATGAGCCATAGACATATCATAGATGTGAAGAAGAAGAAAAAAACTTTTACTAATAAAGAGATCAGAAGCTATCTTAATAAAGGGTATGGGTTTCACAAGGAGGGGTTCTATGTTCCAGAGCTTAAGGATTGGAGCTGACTGTGTTTTTCTATGCAGGATTCTTAGAGGAAAGGGCAAAAATCTCGCTATAGATATTATCCACTTTTGTATATAATTGCCGGTGCTAAGCCTGGGAGTATTGATCCATCATAGTTTCCATTCAATAAGAACTGTAATATTCCACATCATAAATTTAATTTAAAAAATGGCAAAGCCTGTTGGAAATTCTGGGAACTGATATCCAATATATCAAGAATATGTTTTGAGAAGAAAATGATATAAAAAATTGTGCAGTTCAGATTCTCTTATTGTGTCCCTGTTCAGCACCTCCTGAACATCCAGTGTACTATAACAATTTATAATATTAAAGGTTAAGTATCTGCTTGATGGTTAATTAGGTAATTGGCCAGTAGGATCATTCAACAATGTTTTATCTTAGAAAATAACTTTATTCCCAGTATATAAAGAATCCATTGGTAGTACTTATCCAACAGTATCTTTACTAAGGTGGATACAGAGCAAATGATAGCATATTATATGAGTAACATAAGACAGCTATTTAACATATATTCCTCAACTCTGCATCTTCATCCTAAAATATATTTTTATTTTACTCATACATCAAGTATTTATTACTTTTTTCTCTTCCATTCAAACTAAGACCATAGAAGGAACGTGAATGACATCGTTAACAATCTTGGACTGCATCCCCAGAGATATGGTGTTGAAATCATGGGAAGTGATAGTTCTTGTAAGATCAATGCAATTGCCAACATTTTTTTGTCTTTTTGAATAAACATGGGAAATAGACAAAACATCCAGTATAAATCCAAAAATAGGTTTACAGAGTTTAAAAAGACAGATAACTACAAATTATTGTTGTATGAAAAATATATTAAAACTAATAGCTAGCAATATTTAAACCACACAATGATGCATTCAAGTTCTCTTCTTTCCCAGTTCATTGATGAAAGGTTATATGGGTTCTTACCCTTATGAAGCTTGCTGGGAACCAGCCTTCATTCTCCATTATCCTGCCCCACCACCATTCTTTGTTAGTCGCATCCATGACTTCAACAACATCGCCAGCCTTGAAACCTAGTTCTTGGTCATCCATAGTGACATGATCCCAGAGTGCTTCTGCATAGACCACACCACCATCACTAATAAGCTGAAACAGAGAGCACAAAACATTTTCACAGGGTCATATTGGAGATATGAACCAATTTGCTGGTGAGGGAAAGGGCAAAAAGGGGGAGGGGATGTTTTTGCCGTACCTATTCAATAGGCTTTAATGGAGATGTTGTCACTGATCTAAGAAACAACAAAATTATGGCTTTGCTGAAATAAGTGCTGTTAAGTTTCTTATTCCTATCTTTTCTGTAAAACCAGGAACCTAAAGTTTGCTAATGATTAGAAACTGATTAGCAACTACTTAGTTTTATAATGTCAAGTTTGAGGAGGGGCACCATTTGCTTTGTTGTTAAAACGTGCATCCATTGCATTCAAACTACGTTTTCTTCTGTTCATTCATGTCCAATTCTTGGAGATTGCCTGGACAGTTTTCTTGGCGAGGTTCTTCAGAAGTGATTTGCCATTTCCGCCTTCATAGGGATGAGAAGTGACTGGCCCAAGCTCACCTAGCTATACAGGACAATAATTCACAGCCACACACCTCATAAGTATAATATCTGGTCTCATTCTTTAGATTTCCTCCTCTTCAGTCTTATAGATACTACAATTTCATCAATATAGGATCACAGATTCCCCTCCTTGAATTATATGCAGCCTAAAAACCAGAAACAATCACGTCTTTGCATTTAAAACACTAAAGGTTATTCTAATAAATAAAATAATAACCTCTACACATACCAAATGCTTGTCAACATCTGAGACTCTCATAATTTCTTGTGGCTATAGAAGCTGAAGAATGCTGGATGGCTGTTCACATGTATTTTGGAGCTTTATGCTGGACTAAAATTACCCCAAATTCTTGTGTCAAAAGTGTCATCACATTTACATTTTTGTTCAGGTTGAGTGGCCCAGTTGGTAAAGAATAGTTGAATAATCAGTCTTTGTGACTGTCGGTGTGCTCTTGCGAATAATTGAATTAAGAAGGGATAGTAACCCGCCTCTCCTAAAGAGATAGTGGAAATCTGTTTTCCACTAACTGAATTGCTAATTAAGAGTCTCAGTCCTGTGCATAAGCCATAAATCTATGCAAGAGTAAATATTTTTCATTTTCTCTTTTTATGGGAAAGACTTGGTGCTAAACAGACTTCATTCCTGCTTGCATTTCTCCAATCATCTATCAGCTGATATGGGAAGGGAAAAGAGATCTAGACTGAAGTCAGAAATCTGAGTTGCCATCATATATTCTCTTTCCTGAGAAAAGAAATATTTGAAATTCATCTATAACAGATGAATCAAATTAATCCAAGGAGGATTTTCCCCTCAAAGAAGCTGATATCAATGCAACTCTGATGATGATGATGATTACACAGCCTTTCTAAGAACAGCATTTTCTATTTCATTGATGCATGTTTGGGGATTCACCACAGTAAGCACTCTCTCATGCATGCTCCCCCCCCCCCGTCTTTTTATTACAGTGATAAGAATCAAGTTTTAGTAATCAAGGTTTTACTTGGGTATCTATTTATGCCACACAATATTTCTATAAAACAATCAATGCTGTAAAATAATATCATAAACATACTACATGTTCCGATTATTTACTACAGTAAACTCTTTCAATTTATTATTCTTAAAGCAATTTATTTGTTCAATTTATATAGCCACCCATTTCACATATGTGACTCTGGGCAGCTTACACAATTAAAAAGCAAACACAAACAACTGTCAAAGCAATTAATATAAAACTATTAAACACTTAAAAACTATAACCAGAAATCACAGAGACTCTTGTACACAGTGTAGCCTTTTTGGGAACTTTTTATTGGATCCCCAGGTCTGATTATAAAACCAAGTTTCCAGGGCCTTCCAGGAGACCAATAGATTCAGGGCTAATCTATGATGGTCCAAAGAAAGGGTACCATAGCAGAAAGGTTTCTCCTTCTGTTTCCTATCAGATGAAACTTCCTAATGAAAATAGCTGCAATTTTTTAATATAAATCTCTTCAACAAAGTGACAAAATTAGTAAACCACAACCTACTACTTAATAAGATAGAAAGATGTGGGTTAGACAGCATCACCACCAGATGATGGCTGACAAACCACATTCAACATGTAGTCCTTAATGGAACTGCATCTATATGGAAGTATGGTAACCTAGAGCTCTGTCTTAGGCCCAGGAAAGGAAAGAGCTCCTGTTCACTCCTGGTTCTTGCTTACAGTACCATAAAAACATATTCCAGAACTAAGTTTTGAATATTTAGCTTAAATCCATGGATTGGTCTGTACTCCAGGAGCCTTAGGGCATCCATAGAAAATAGATAACAATTTGATAAAGCCACAATTACATTTTATGAAGATATCCAAAGAAACAGCCCTTTTTTTTTGCAGGAAGATAACCTAGATTGGGTTTTCTATTGCCAAGGTATCAATTAAATGTATTTAGTAGCTAGTATTGTGTGCTCAAAGATAAAACCAACTTCCTTTGCCCTCCCAGATTTTTTGCTATGCCACCCCTGCTGCAACTTGCAACATCAGGGGTCCTGAATTTTTTTTTATTTTCTTCTAATCTGTAATAAGACTTCACACTGAGCTCAGAAAGTACTTTAAATGGCTTACTATGTCTTAGCAGAGTCAAATTAATTTGTTTTTAAAAGACATAAAGATTTTAAGGCAAGGAATCCCTCTTACATCTGCAGATGTAGGTGGTATTAGCAAATGAAGAAGAAAAGTAATGATGCCATTTGTCACAGGATCAGGATACTCAAATCACAAGGAAGATGAAAAAACAATATGGCTCTTGGATATGGCAGTTTATGTATTAGCATACAATCAAAATGGAACTCAAAAAATATAGAAACAAAACTCCATTCCAAGCTGGAAAAGTATTTATTCTAGATCTGGTGCAGTGTTGTGATTGAGCGATAAAATGTGAAGATATCAAACCCCCCAATTTGAATCACAACCATAAAAATTGCCACAAGCATGCCACAATTTCTCAGTGATATAACAACATAAATCTTACAAGGATATGTAATTGCAAAGACCTACTATGTGTACCATTTAGAAATACATGTATTTATACTATAGCCTGAAGTGCTACATTACTGGAAAAGTTGTACCAAGTGGTAACTGATGAAGTCTACCGCTAGATAAAACTAATATACTTCTTGATTAAGATTCTTGTGTGTATTACTAGTGCTGTTTATGGCCCTTGGTAGTATTGTATCATATGCTGTCAAACTCTTTAGTTTCTTCCCAAGTGAATACTGAATTAAATCTGGCAACTATCATCCTTCATTTCACCTACCTTCCATTATCTTCTCTATCATCACATTCTTTATTTACAGATATTGCTAACATTAATTCTAGAAATTAGTCAAATGTATAGCATGCTTAAGAACCAACTGTTGTACCAGAGTAAAACAAAAAAAGGTTTACTCACTAAATTGCCTGAGGTTTTACATAAACAAATTGCAAATAACAGGGAAAGGGAGAAAGCCCATTAAGAAAGCTAATAAAACTAATGACAAACACGCTAAATCTCTTGTTTCTAAAGAAGCAATGGGAATGCTACATAAGAGATTAAGGAGATAAGAAGTAACAAACAGATTTAATCCAGGTGAGATGTAACTATTTTTCACTACAGATTTTCAAAAATTTGGAACAACAGCAGCCTTGAGTATAATTTCCTTAATTAATTGCTACTATTGAAATAAAGTGCTGATTGTTTAATTTAAATACTGATGCTCTAATTTTGTTCTAAATCACTATTTTGTTTCAGGTTTATGGGAGCCAGAAGCAAATACCTGTTCACTAGAATCTCTCTTCTTAATCCAAGAATAATTGCCATCGAAAGTCCTGTGAGTAGAGTTTCCTTAAAGAGAGAGGAAGGCAAATCACCAACCCAGAAACCTCTGTTGGATTTTTCCCTACATCAATGTAGGGACCAACTGACTGCCTCTGGCTAGGATTCTAGAAAGGTTTAGATTTTTTCTTTTAAACCCACCATTTACCTTTTTTTTATCATACTGATCATACTTAAAAACTGCCTCAGTAAGATTTGAGCCCTGAAAGTAGAATAGTAATAGCTAATATAAAACAACAATAATAGAGATCAGCTGGTTGAAGAAGACTGTTTAAGATTAATTGCAATAGATAAATGGATACTGACTAAGATACAATTGTATTCAAATGCTGGCCACACTTCTGGTTGTAAAAAGAAAAGGATTTGGACCATTTTTAGGGAGTGAGCGCTATTGTTTTTTACAACTGTTATATTTAGAGGAATTGTTATTCAAATAAGCATGTATGACTTTCAGGTAAAGAACCATTCCAATAAGATACAATTTTGGAGCAAAGATAATGTAACTTTTTTTCCTTTGAACTGTGTCTCAAACAATACCCTTCTGTTATTCCAGAAAGGAAAGGTAATTCAAACTGCCCCATTTCCAGCAATTGCTTTAGGTTTTATTTCTGATCTGACAACATACTTTTATGTTTTTTCTAAATATAATCTTTCAACATTGCTACTTTAAAAACAGTCCTATGTAGAATACATTACCATTGCCTAGTTTAGAATAGAAATATAAAATTTCTAACTTTTTAATACAAAGAAGAAGAAACCCATGGAACTTTTCAGGGGAGAGAGAGGTACTATTTTGTAGCTAGGAACCTTTATCTACTAGGTTGCAGAAGGTAACATCACTTATTGTATCTTTAAAGTGGAACAAATCTGGTTATCATTGTTATGGGAGCCCACTAGCCTAGAATATTGAAAAAGATTCTCAGAAGGCAATGTAAAATTCTTTCATACTATTGCCAAAAAAAACTTGAGTCAAGGGAGATGCCCTTTACTTTTATCAATCTATAGTAATTTTACTCTGTTAAAATAAAATGATTGAAGATAGCTTGATGCATTCATACAAGCTATGCAATAGTGGTTTTCAAATAATCTTATCACCGGTTCGCTGAAAATGTGAGGACACCTGCATGCATCTATGTGGTTTCCGCGCATGTGCATGCACACTTGGATTCTG